CTTCATATTCGGAAAGATGCGGGCAAGTACGTGGAAGATTCGTGCCCTAAGCGAACCACCAGGAATGGCTTGTGAGCGTTCGGCAATGTGACGACTTCAAGTTAGGAAAATTGGATCGCGAATACACTCAATGCATGGAGAGCAATTTTATGGCTCGTCGGGTGAATTCGCGCACCCTTTTCACATGGAAAGCATTGCTATCTATGGACGTATCATCAACAATAACGGACATGGCGTTCCATCCGGTCTCACGCATAATGTGAACTGGTTTTCCTAGAGCATCTCCAGAGTCGGAACATCAATAGTTGCAATGGGGATGTGACCTCAGCACGAAAAATATGCAAAAAGTCATGCAAATCCAGGTGCGAGATGCACTTGAAAACCCCATGCGACGCAGAAAGTTACTTGTGGGTGTCGGTGGCAGGGTTTCAAAGAATCTCTTATGTGGCCTGGGTGAGGCGAGCATGGATTAAATATTCCCGTGAGAATAGATTAAATTGAGCCAATTTATAGAGTATGTAATTGCAGACTTTGAAAGCCTGGGTTTAAGAATTTTTTTCATTCGTCTAAGTATAAATAATATCTGATTCCTATGACGAATCACCCAGTAGAGGATAAATATGCGGCCTCAAAGTAAATAAACATCTATTCATGTTCTTATGGCTGGGTAACCCTTTCCAATGGGTTTATTTGGAGAACCCTTCAAATCGAAAGGGGTGGGGAAATGCATTCTTCCTCAGAGAAAGTATTTTTAAAAAAAACACCCAAATCACTTTTTGAAAAGGTATTTTGCCAGCGTCTAACCATTTTCTCAAATTCATCCCTCTGAAAGTTATACCCTAAACACTATTTGCTAACTGTGTACTATACCTCCATCTTCTTCTAGAACCCGAATACTGCAAGCGCGGCGGTGCATGGAGACAATACATTGGAACGAAGAACGAGACGATCTCGGGGAAACCATGCCGGCCGTGGCTAATATACCATTCAACGGCAGATAATCCCGGCAGTGACATATTTAAAGTTGCCGATTTTCCAGATGACTTGCATCCTTCTCACAATTTCTGCCGGCATCACAGAGAAACACGTGCGGCTGATTTTGTGTGTTGGAATGGAGTCGAGTTGGAGTTTTGTGAAATCCCCGATTGCTGAGACAGATTTCATGGATTGCTCAGCACGGAGCACAGAAGCTGCGGCAGGTGATGAGACCAAAAGAAGGACATCATCTCCCAACATCTTGTGAAACCTTTCAGGAACGATTTCCCGACCGACCTCGTGAGGAAAAATTTGTTGGTTTGGAACAGGATTTAAACCTGGGTCGACCCAATACAGGAAAATATCGAAGTTGCTTCGAGAGTGATTTGGCTTTCGTGGCATCTCATTTCCTCGTCTGAATTGCTTTCGACAAGATGGACGACAAATTCTGGCAATATGGAACACATTCCTTTCATTACATATCACATACATTTCTCATGCGAGCCTAACTAAAGGACAATGTCTTGTTCCTCGTTTGAAATGAGAGCTTGAACGAGGAAAACCCCATGCTCTCTTTTTCTTCTCAAATATCAATGGTCTCCTTTCCACGTGAACATACTTCCCACCCCCTCAAGATTTGTCGAAGCCCATTATCAGAATTGGACGTGCTAAATTCGATTGACTCACAGAATTCAACCAATGCAATTGCAATGCCATCAATTTGCATTGCCTCATTGACTATCCGCTTGAAATGTAATGTATCTCAGTCAGTTCCACATATTTCAACTCTCAGTAATTCGTTTGAAAGGAAGTCTCTATAGTTTCCTGACAAGATGCTCTTTTAGTTGCTGCCTCACAATTGAATTTGTATGGGATGTTGCTGATGCTATAATAATAAGTCAAGGTTCAAGGAAGATCAAAATTATTTTTTCGACTCCGAGCACGTTAGCCATAGGATTCGTAATCGCCGCAAATTGAAGGACAAGTTTTTAAAAAGGCAAGGTACACATGTATTCTAACTCCTTTAATGTGACTTATATGAAGGAGCCAGACATACAAAAATGAATTTAAAAATGAAGTTGACATTCTTATTCAATAGAATCAGGAGCATGCTGGGAAAATCCAAGCTTTTTTTAATATTTATTTTGACATGACTCATTTCCCGCCATGCTCTAATACGATACACATCTCTCACTGGTCTATTCCCTTTGAGAAGAGTTTGTTTCTTATCTCGCTTGACTTGAGTCGATGTGCGAATACATTCGCACATCGACTCGAAACGAAATTCAGCATGGATGCCCACCAATTTCGACGATATATTTCAGACAATATATATATATTTTTTTTTTTTTTTTTTTCCTTTCCATCATATAACATTTCACGATTAACGCAATCCTCCACGGATTCTTCTCCTTTACGTAAAGAAAAGGAGCGTTAAGAGAATTAGAATATTGGATGGAAAAGACAAGCCTCGAAACCGAAGAAAGCAAACAAACGTTATTTAATTTATAATTTTAAAAAAAAATACCTGGACGATGCATTCCTCGCTCGACAGTGAAGGAGCGACTAAAAACAATTCCATTCCCGAAAATATGTGGGCATGAGACGGATGGAAACTCGCCGAGAGCTTAAGCCCGATCGAAGCAATTATGCGGAAAGGCCCGGGGACCGCGACACCTGTTCATTTTCATCGAGGAGAGGGCAACAAGGAAAAATCGATGCAACATGGACCTCTACGTTAACACCGCCATATGTTCTTCCATCCCGCTTTGACACTTCCAAGCACTGGAGAGACTTTGTACCCCTCGCTGGCATTCAAATTGTTGTCGGCGCCCGCAGACATAGAGGATCGCCACGTGGAAAGGAGGAAAGGATGTCTCTTCATCCCAAATCGTTTTTTGCTATTCTTACCTTATGAAGGGGGTTGCTTTTGGTATACAAATGAATTCATATATATTCATAATTAAAACTGGAATGCAGCTAGCCGTAGACTTAACCAACCGTATGTTTAATCTCTCTATATATAAAGAAGAAAGTTTGTCTGTCTGTCTGTTCCTTAATGCAACCGAACTTTGCATGGCATCCTCTTTCATCCAGGGGAAGGTCGAGAGCTTTTCCATCCAAAATTTTCATCCCCGGGGTACTGTAGTATCTGGGAAAGCATTAAGAGGAAGGACAGACTGCTGGATTCGGTGGTGCATTGGTAACACACCTGACGGGCGATCAAGAGGCATGGGTTCGATTCCCGGCCGTCCCTGCATTTTTTTTCGTCCTCTCATGCCATCCAACTCTCCCCTCCTGGGCATCTGCATTACTGTACACCGGGGTTATCCCATTGCTGGATCGCTACAGTAAGTGGTAAGTATTAATAATATTCTTTTGTTCAACTTTTCATCGAAAATATGTTTCAAAACGATAAAAACATTTCACCAAGAAGTTTTCAAACTCCAAAATGATTTAGAAATTATTCACAGCGTATTACTCAAATTAAAGAAACCCACAAAACGGAAAAATAAGTGAATACATAAATATATGAAAAATGCTAAATGTCAACCCCCCTCCCCCCCCCAAAAAAAAAATTATAATAATAAATGAATATAAATAAATAAATAAGCAATGCTAAAAAGGGAAAGGGGTCCGAGCGCACTTTGCAACATCCAAGATCGGTAACTTATAGGAAACTATGACACCAACGTTCCCCAATTTATCATGCATGAAATATTGAAATATTGAATTTCCCCGGGCAACACCGGGTACTTCAGCTGGAATTTAATAAAAATAATGTCCCAGAATTGACTGAACAAAAAGGGAACTTCGTATCAGGGTCGCTCAGACCTAGTTCTCCGTTAACCTAGGCCGACGAACGTAGCCAACAAGATTTCACCTTTCCAGGCCATAGTCTACGTGGAAGGACTTGTTCAGTCGATTCTGATACAATATAAATATCTATGCAAGACGAGAGAATTCGGAGACAATGACAATTAGTGGTGTAGTACCAAAACCACGGACGAAAAGATTTAGGGAGACATCGACAAGCAAGGACGAACTACTGAAAGGACAGTAGAATTATGTTCGAGCAATGCACTCGAACTTCTTTGCTCCAGGAATTCATCCCCGGACTACAAATAAGGCTCTGGGGACAGTTCAGCCGGCACGACACAAGGTGATTCACCTTGGCTTTTCTATACATGGAGGAACAGCACTCTGTGAGCCGATACAGGGGAGCCACGATTCGGTCATGTTCCCCTAGGTGTCATGGTTCACCTCTGACCCTATACCTCAGCCGACCAGTTCTCGATGGTGATGCCCTTAATGTAATTAACCCTCTGCTACTGTAAGTACATGGAATGTTGGAAGGGATCTTTAAAGTTCATGAAGTTCAGGTCATAAGCCTTTTTCCTACAGGATTAGACATTCCCGACCGCCTATTCCTCTAGTTTCATTAGGAATGCCCATGTGACGGACACGGTCGGATCGAGGGGAAGACATTCCTCCACAAGTGGTTATTGATCCAGCATCTTAATTAGTAAATGACGTTCATCATTACTTCGTCAATAATAACCTGTTCCGAGGTCACCATCCTGACGACTCTACGCTTGTCTTCGGCGGTGAGCTTGGACGGACGCCCAACACGGCTCTTTGGTGCTTTGGATGTTCCCCTAACTCTTCCGGGGCTTTCATTGCTACTGTGCATTCAGAATACATTAAATTGAAAACAGGAACTTGTTTGCAAGAGGACCCTGCTTTTCAGCTGCTCTGGCGATATTACTCAACCATCCAAAGAGTAATGCATTGCAGTGAGAGCAACCACCCCAAAATACCCTCAAATGGATAGAGAGCATTCCACATAAGCACAGAGAATTCATAGAAAATCCTCTCCAAGAGTCAAAGGCCTAGCTCCAACATCAGGCTTCATTTTTCCTCAGGAAGTGACAATGCATTATATTCATTTATCTAGCTTCAAAGCAGATTAATTCAGCATTTCATTAAGGTTCCCTTCATCCCCAAATGCCCAACACCATCGGTCTTGATTTAATCCTTTGGGGGAAGAACGTCCCTTTATGCAGGACAAAAACACCAAAATAATCACAGTGATGGGGCATCATGAATGATATCAAAGGCAACAAAAATCCAAATGGAGATAGACAACAAAGAGAACGAACCACCAGTTTGGCATTCTTGTCACTAACCAAATTTCACCCACGTGTGCAAGCCCGACATTTGAAACGTATCTACACGTTTTCCCTGTGAACCATAGGAGTTTTCTGCATCAGGATGCAGGGTCACAATTGCCAATTCACACGTGTGCAAAAGCAAAAATCATAACATAATAGGCATAACTTAGTGAAATAATTTTTGTTCCTCTTCATAAGGAGCGATAAAAATTTGTTTCTTTCCATCTCTTTTTTCCGGGGGTCCATGTTTCCACACAGCATCGAAGAGAAGAGCGAGTCACTCTCGAGTTCTTTGAGCACACCCGACTGGATTTAGTCGATCTTGACGGTGGAATAGATCTTGCGGACGAAGTAGGACGTCCCGATGAATCCGACCGTCCCGCACATGATCCCCAGTGCCAGGCTGAATAGGGCCATATACCCAAAATAGAAGACTGTCTGGAACAGTCCATACATCCTAGATAGGAAAGGAAAAAACCTCCCTCTAGCATTCATGAAGACATGTAGAAAATGGGCTATTGGTAAATCAGCTCACTTGGTCTTGAAGATGAAGTAATAGAAGGAATAGATATAGACGTAGGTTGATGTGGAGGCTCCAGCCAAAAAGCTCGTCCACTGCCTGCAATAGACGAGGACAGAAATCTTTTGTCTCGACACATTTTTTCCATTATGCCATTTCCCCAGGACAGTGGGATGACGTAGGATCACAGTGGACATAGGATTTGGAGTGGTCCAAATCAATGCACAAGCAAAACTTGTACAAATGTAAATGTCAGGTTTTAATCAAGGCCCCTGCCAATTTTGAGGGATGGTCAATTTTCTGAACATACATGAATCTCAGTATAGACACACTTCAAAATTATGATCTCCATTAAAACATTTAACATTTTAAAGAGCCAATAATCAGCATGAACCAGTGGATTCTTCCCTCTTGGGTTATATGAAAGACAAAGTGTACTCTGCTAAGATGAACTTCCTGGTGAAATTGCAAGAGCACATCAACCAAGCTGTTGCCACATTTATCCTGGGCATGCTTTGAAACATGTGGCATGATCTGAAATACAGATTAGGCATTTGCAGAGCCACTCCTGGTGCTTACATCAAAGCATATCACACACAAATAAAACTTGGCGTGTTGCACCTCAATTTAGTTTTTGTTTCATTGGTCTACCACAATCCATTCCATAATTATTCCCTCATGAAACCCAGCCAATCATTTTGGCACACTCTGCATAAGCATAACAGACTAATGTCAAAAAGGGCTCACCAGCGATAGTCCTCAGCATTCAGGAGGAAATAGGTGCAGACGATGGTGATGCACACAGTGACAATGACCAAGATGACGAATACGAGGAGCATGAAGCCATACACGTAGTAGATCTTGTAGGCCCAAAATGATGTGAAGATGAAGTACCTGCCAGGAATACAAAGGACGCATAGATATGTCATCCACAGCGATATATATTGACAAATCATGGATTCAAAATAAACAATACCCTGCACTCATTCTGCCTTATCCTTTTCAGGCATATAGATCCATATCGATCCATACGATCAAATTTGCGTTTTTATTTAATCATCGTGTGTTCTTTCAGAGCACATGACATGGCTTGGAAATGAAAGCCATTGACACAGATATATCTTGGAATCAATATGCAGAGTTTGGTTAGCTATACTAAAAAATAAAATCCATAAGCTATAGTAATTTGACTAAAGCAATAAATAATCTCAACATTTTCCTTGAACAGAAGCCCAAGTAACACCTTTTCTCACTGAAAATCAGACAAGGGTTTGCAAGAAACAAAATTATCACATGATCAAAACACCCAGTCCTCAACCACATTTATGTCCCTGAAGAGCCCTTATATATGTAGCAAAAACCAACATTATCAAGGACTTACCATTAAACTGATGCTGAGTATCAGCTGATTTTAATTACAATAAATATATATTATTTTGAAATCCAACATCCATATTATTCTTCATAAGAGTTAATCATTAACAGTGACATCCAAATATTGGCACACAGGAAGAACAAAGTCATATACAGCCATGTCATTAGTGAATAGAGAAGTAGTTTATGTTAACTAGAGTCAATTTGTCCATTTACGCTTCTTCATAATGTTTTTTACTGAATTTCAACCAGCACTTAAAAAAATACCATCCCCTTCATCAGGAGATTACTCCGTCCTATGAGTGTCAGATTGACACAAAGTAATAAAAAAAATTGGAAAAGAGATGAACTGCAAGAGGAGTATGAGAATAACTTAGATTTACAGTAATTCATGAATAGCTTATTATTACTTGCAGATTGGTTTGCCAGTAATGATGGGGGAAATCTTTGGCATAGTCATCATGAGTCATTTCTGTACTGTTGGTTTAATTGGCATTCATTGCACATCGAATAGCAGGAGAGAAAAAAAAGACCGCAAGAGGACAGAAAAGTGCAGCTGATCACATAAAGGATAAATGCTTAAAAATGCAGGAAGTGAAGAGCAATTTAAAAAAAATGCAACTCACTTCCACTTGGATTGTTCTATAAAATGGGACAGAGGGAACTTTCCATCATTTCCTTGTGAAAAGCTCCTGACTTAGATGCTAGAACACAATGGTGAAACCAGATGTGTATTGAGTAAAAGTGTCAAGTAGTAAAAGATCCAGTAATGAATCACCCAAGCCACTGACTATATTTGTTTTGAGTATCATGATAAATTGTATCTCTTCCAACTTCTTCGTTTTGGTTCAGGGGAAGAAACTCACACTTCAATGAAGATGGATCCAAAGGGAAGGATCCCACCGACCATGACAATGATGGGCGGCTCCATGAACCACTTCTTCTCGGGAATGGGGCGTGGAACAGCGTTCACGCGACACGGGTAATCCGGCTGACCGCTCAGGTTCCTCCCCAGCACCGTCCCAACCAAGGTCAATGGGAGCACCACAAACAGGCAAATACTCGACACAGCCAACTAAGAACATGAGGCAGAGTTGTCATTCACTTCACCTAGTTTCCCTCCACTTTCAACTCAGGAATTCTTCAATGAAGAAACACAGTGACTTCCTGTGCAAGCAAGTAAGTGACCCAATCCAAAGGTTTCAACATCCTACCTCTTCCAAAATCTTGGGCCACTGGGTTCTCAGAAGAGAATAATTTGAAAATTAACAAGATTGCATCAAGGACAGCACTTGATACTGTATTTATGGCAACTGAGCAAGATACAAAATGCAACTACTAGTTTAAAGCTACTTTGAAAGAAGTGAGTATAGGTTCTCTTCCTGATGAAAATGCTTAGCTAATCACTATTGTCCAACACATACCTGACATAATACTGGAAAAGGAAATGAAACAAGAAAGGTCCCTACCATGGTGGTGAAGGGGATAGCCCGAGAAGCATGGTATGCCATGGCGATGAAGTTGATGACAAAGGCAGTCCCGCACAAGGCAAAGGGTATAAGAAATGCCGAAACGAGCATCTGGCGGATCCACTGCTTTCCCCCCATCCTGGAGTACAGTCCACCCCCAGCGTATCCATTGATTGCAGACGTTGCCGCATACACAAAGATTGCTGTACTCAGTACTGATCCCCTCCTGTATTCACATGGAAATATAGAGTAAAACCACAACCTCATGAAATGAGAAGTTCATGCTCAAGAGATATTTTGTTTAACAAATGAAATTAGCACTTCAACATGACCAAAATAATACATCATAAACAAAACCTAGTCAACCAAATCAATTTTCTGCCAAAAGCAGATTTAAAAAATATGACAACCAGTCATGGTAAAAAAAAAATTCAAAGCCATAACCAAATGCACAACAACTGCCTAATTATATCTGAAGCAGTAATATTGCACTCCTATTCGTACCTGCAATGGTGACTCTTACTCAGTGTAAAGGTCTCCAATGATGGCAAAGAGGATCACAAGAAGTGTGACAGTGAAGACCTGGTATCCAGAACCAACAAGAGCAGAAAAGAGGAGGGGATGAGACGGAGGACGAAATACATCCCCATGAACCTGCTTCCACCCATACTCATCTCCCAAGTCTCGCTCCTGCACCAAGAAGATAAGGGAAGCGTTACAGTTGGACCAAAATACCAAATAACCACAGGCTCAACAAAAGCAAAAGTCAATGCTGGAAAAATGCTTGGGATAAAGAAGACCTTAGACCATTTTGTTAACTTCATCATCACATTAGGTATTGCCTGTGCATCTTCAGGGTTCAAGCCAGGAAATTTCCTAACCTGGGTGGACACAATTTACCAATATGGGCATATTGCATCAGCTTCTGTAGACAAACTCAGCCTCTGAATATTAGAAGTCCTTGAGAGGGGGCAGGAGGGAGCAAAGGAGGGGAAAACATGCCAAGGTGGGTTCCAGGGTGAGATTGGAGAATTTTGCACCATGCAATATATTCCACCAATTCAAATGGACTGTTTGCATATGAGCTTATGCAAGTACTAAACTAGCTGACCATTCCATGCTATATCTGGGCTGAATAACTGCAGGAATGTTTCAGCAGTTCTGTCAGTCTCTATCAGTTGAAGGAATGCCAAGGTAATAAAACACCACATTCAATGAGCAGCTGTTTCTCTATTATTTGTTAACTGGAAAGCAGATAAGACTGTGCCCTGTCATAAAGGCATAGCTATAACCCTGACATGGCTCATATTCTGCTGAAACTTGGCTTTAAATTTAACTGTAGTATCAATCCACTGTATTACATCTGCAGCATAGTACCCACTTAGTCATGCCTTTAGGCTGTCTATAAAAAAAAAATGTATAGGATCCGAGAAGGTGGATTTTGTTAGAAATGTACTTTCACTTGGGCAAAACTATATATGAGAAAATAGCAAGGAGGGAAGCTAAAGAATACAATGAAGAATGTTCATTTCCTTGAATAAAAAGAGCTACTTAATTTTAGGGGAATATCCAGCATACCATGTCATCAAGGTCGTGCTCATCCTTGGAATAGCGAGCGTAGTCCTTTCGTAGCGTCCGCATGAGAATCATGGACACCAGACCCACCAGGAAAATCACCATCATGAAGGAGTTGAAAATGCTGAACCAATGGATCTGCAAGGTCAATCAATAACACAAAATTTTCAAATTAAGTTTGGCACAAATCAATAAACAGTATAAACCACAACTCTCAGCTCCATAGAGTAGATTACTACAACACCCTGTACAGGTCTAGGTTGGCTCATGCATGCCACCAATAAGCCTGCTTGCAGAAAAGCAACACTAAGTCTTAGGCCCACATGAGCCGACAAAATACCTAAGCTCAATTTAACCTGAAATTTTCACTTGAGACTTCTCAGAATAGGTTATTTAACTGAGCAATAACAGCACAGATTAATAAACTCTCCTGAACTCCAGGAAGCAAAACAATTCCTGCAATTTTTAATCTAAAAAATCTCCTAATTCAAGAGTCATATCGCAAGGCACCCCTCATTCACTTACAGAAACAGGGACTTGCTAAGAACTACAGATTCTGCATTTTTGCATGCAATATACTAGTTAGAAAGAGAGAAGAAAACTTATGAAGTGCATCTCCAAACATGAAGGAGAACACTTAATAGGCTTTCATACCTTCTAGTGTTTCCTTTTCTTTAAATCCTCTTTTCCGTTATATTTCATTTAAAAAAGCAGAGGATTCATGGACCCACCCGATGTTGGAAGAAGGTGGGGTCCAAGTACTTGTCAAACCTGTCCTTGAATGGGACGGTGCTGGGCTTCCATGTCACCTCATATGTGAAGGGGATGGCAGCACCCAGGGCAAGCTTCACCTTGTTTTCAGATGTCAGATTCACATCCACAATCTGGTCATTGTTGTAGCCTATCTCTAGGCGTTTGTGAGTCCACAGGTAATATTCCTTGTTGGATTCATCCACATCTCCCACAATCCCTTTTGGAGAAATGAATAATACAATTAGATATATAGTGATGCAATTCATGATAAAAGCTAATGTTTCATTCACATTTGGCAAATATGCTAATCAGAGAAGGCAAAAATACAGACTGTGAGAACTAAAATGCTTTAAGTTACTAGTAGCCTTACACAACAATTTGGCTAAGACATAAAAGCCATCCTTCCACATTGTCTTTAAACTATCATAAACTAACTGATGCCATTTCATAGTAAAATAAGAAGGAATCTACACCATCTTCCAGTCAGAAAGAACACATTACAATCAAGCCTTTGAAGAAAAGTAGAATTCCCATTAGAGACTCACCCCAGATGGGAAGGTCATCTATGTACATCTGATACCAATAATGATTCTTGACTGCATAAATGAATGCCTTCAGGTGTTCTTCAGTCATGGTCACCTCACAATAGCGTGTCTTCGGCACATTCACTGGAAGCACCCAGAGAGAACAAATTAAATTCCAAAGGACCACTCACCATTCACTAATTCTGAGAGGTTCTGATGCACTCACCCTTGTATTCAATGTCCAAACCTGAGAACTCCAACTCCACCCCAATGAGAGCTTCACCCAGAGTCTCATGGTAATGACTGATGGTCTCCTTCGGCCCAGGACAGAACGGCAAGGAGAAATACGCATACGTCTCTTGTCGATTGTGATATGGACCCACTGTGTTCATCCATAACACAACTTCCTCATTGTCTTTGTACTGAAAATCAAACCCAATTGTGACCTTCAAGAACTCTAATTGGATATTCCTTTAGGATGAAATTAAATATGAATCATACCGTATGTGTATGTTCATCACAGGATGTGTGGGTCACACAAGAGAGGAGAGATGTGCACAGAATGATCCAATGCCAGCTTCTGGAATGTTGCACTTTTGATGTTGCCTTCATGTTGAGTCTCTCACAAACTTAGGAATGATGGGCAAAGAGATGCAACCTTAGACTAACACCCCAAATACACTCTGATTGCGGAAGAAGGTTCCCTATCACGAATTGTCACCAATCACAGATTGCAATCACAATGCAAGTCACCCAGCATAACACGGAATCTGATTTAGATTCTGCCTGTTGGCCGAGTTTGCATAGGCTGGGCCTTGAACTTGCCTATGTCCATGCACAGAGTCATTCCAGCATCGTCAGGTGATTGTCTTCTCGAGAATCTCCGAACTACAGGATTTCTTCAAAATGCACTTGGTAACAACTGATGCTGCAAAATTCCAACAGGAAGTTATGCATATATAGGATTTTTCATAGGCCTAATGGAAGTCTGGAATCAAATGGTACAAGCTATTGACAACTGAAATAATAGTTCAAATCTAGATATTCAGAAGTTTTCAAAGCTGACACAAGCAGAGCCTCTTAGGGATGTTGGTAGGCCTAAAAACACAAATTAGCTAGAGTAAACAACTGCCTTAAAAGGATCCATAACACGGAAGTGCAAGTCAAGGATACATATGCCTATCAATAAGGCAATCACTAAAAATGTGTTTTCCTGGTAAAAACAGAAATGACACCCATCCAATCAATGTAAAACACCAACTTTTGAATTGGTCTCTTGTTGACAAATTAGTTCGAGTAATACAAATCAAATGCACTAAGTTAAACATTGACAAAACCTGTTTTACCTCGCATATTAAGCAGCATCAGAAACAAACTTTGCCAAGCCCAATATTGATTGCAAGGGCCTAGGGTTGACCTCAGCCTGCTTACAGCAAAAGAAACAGCTTTTCCAAGGGTCTATAACAAATTGAAATGCCTTCCTGGAATTAAAGAAGTTAGCTCCATCCATGAACTTTATGAAGTCCCCTCAATTAGTGTGACATTTCCTTCAACAAATACTGGTGCAAATTTTTTTTTTTTTTGAGACCTAATCTAAGATGAACTACGAAATGTCTTTAAATAAAAAATTAGCAGAACCAAAAATTCGAACAAAAGAAAAGATTTAGTGAAAATGTCTTCCCCTATCACTTAAGATCGTACCATTAACTAGATGCTAACCAAATAACTTTTTCGAACCAAGGGAGAAAAAAGTGGGATAAACGACGGGGCAGGGGATGGGCAACGAGGGGGAATGGGGAGGAGAACTGTGGGGCGAGGGAGGGGAAAAATGGGTGGGGAGTGCTGTGCAAGGTAGACAGCGAAACACAACCAAATGACAAAGCGAACCATTAAAGGTCACTGCTCGGCTAGAAAACTGAAACATCTTCCAGACCAGAACGACATCTTAAAAACTGGTACCTTCACGATAAAACCGGTCGTCCAGTCACCTTACACCCGGATGGTTTCCGGAACCACATCCGGACCCGCCCTCGATATCAGCAGAACGGACCTCAGCCAAAAAAGGCCATTAGCGAACCACACACATCAACCAACGTGGCAACCCGCGATGCTCAATCAGGATGCAGACGTGGAGCAATGAAATCAAGAATCCCATGTCACGCCCTCGCCCCATGCTAGGGATTAACGTTACGCATACATGAGTCCGACACCGAACCACAGTGCCACGTCGCCTTCGACTTTTCCTTGTCATGAACCCTTTCATTCACCTTATTCGATTTCCCTGGAGAGAAGACGACAGGTAATCCACTCGATAAAGTCCGTCTCTCATCACTAATTAGTGACTGGACTGAGTTTAAAGTCATGACAGTAAACAGGAAAGAAAAGCAGCTAGAGGAATGAAGAACAGGTGTTAAATTGTAGAATCGTCGAGGAAGCTTAAAGATGGCGTCGCGCTGATAACACCGGTTACGGATTGGTCAACTGGCTAAATCCAGGTATCGTCGTTCACTGATAGATTGACTTAGGCAGAATCGATTGATTAAAAAATTGGTGGACCCGTTTGCAAAAAGCATAGAAACTCCATTTCAACCATAAGTGTATCAGGCACCGGAGGGAATCCCAGCCTTCGTGATTTATGCTAAACGATAGTCATATACTTCCCTAGCATGATTCCTGCCCAAATCTCTTTAGTCCTCCATCTTGTTATTAATGCGGAAAGCTCATCACATACCCTGAGAGCATGGAACTGATTCTGGACATGAGTAAACCTAATAATGCGTGCGTTTGCCGTCAGAGGCTCAAGTTATTTATCTTGCCATAAGCGCATCAATTTATAATTAAGGCAGTTATGAGTGTGAACATTGATCATAATTGGACGTACCAATGAAAAGCGATTGGAAAGTGTGCCGAGTGCTTCCAGTTTTGATAGAAGTGCCTAGAGTTTCAGAGCTCAAAGGTCATATTTCTTTCCCACTTTCCCTGTCTGGTGAAATTCCATTAGGGTCTTCAAAGGCAGACAGTTTCGTTTCCTCACCAAATCCATCACTTCTAAATCCTCTTATGTGTTTAAAAATTTATTCGTTCCATGATATAACTCTTGTCTAGGCCTAAGTTAACCCAACAAGTGTGGCAGTGGATCTCAGCTATTATCTTCAAATTGCATTACTTGCTGCAATAAAATGTTGCTAAGATCCATCAAATTTTCTCCAAGTATATCTAATATTGTGAAATACTGATTGCAAGTCCCATTGGCTATCGATTCAGTTGAAGATGAAGATCGCAAAAGTACAGGATGAGATCCAGAGATTAGAGGAAGAAATTGAGTCCCTCCTACGAAAAGATGAGTCCCTTAGGAAAAAGCTGTTGAAAACAAAATGCAACAAAGAATCTCTGGAGGCCCTTCAGGAGGAAGTAGATGCACTTCTTTCTCAAGCTCGAAAGAAGAACATTCTTCCTTGGCTGGAGGAATCTTCTTCCAAGAAGTTATCAGAGAAGCCAGATCCCTTCAGAAGATCTCTGCTCACCAAGAGTGAATCTTTGGCTCCTGAGATATCATCTTATGAAGAGTATGTCTGCCTCCATGGAGGCCTGACTGGGGGATGGGTGGACGAGGAGCACGCCATGTACTTGCGTTGCAAGACTCGCTTCCCACGGACGTGGTTGTGCGAAGGCATGAAACGCGTGCCTCAGAAAACACAACAGGAGTGGCTGGCTCATGATCAGTGGTACTCAGAGCTGTCAAGGCTTGACCAGTTGAGGAAGGCAGCTGTGGCCAGATGGAGGAAGGAGAAAGACAATAGGAAGGTGGATCATCGAGATTCCTCGATCGACCAGGAAGTGAAGAGAAATGGCAAGATATCTAAGGAACTGGTTGAAAAACAAAGGGAAAGAATCCAAAACTGGAAAGCTAAGAGGGAGAAGAAATCTGAGATAAATGATGAAATCCCAAGACCTAAAACTCCCAAAAAGCCACAGCTGATGAAGAAACCAGATCAAATACTGGAAGATTTCAAGAGGAAGAAGCAGCGGCACCAAGAGAAACTGAAGCACATGGCCATGGAGGAGGAAGAGTCACGAAAAGCCAAGGGCAAGGTCGCCAACACGTTGATCACTGTTTATCGAGCCAGAGATCGAGAAAGAGAAGCAGTTCAAAAGGAATGCCAAGAAAGGGTAAAGAAGGAAAAGGAAGAGAAGCAACAGAAAATCAAGAAGTTTATTTCTGAGCAGGTTCCAGTGAATGTGTCCAAAGATCCAGCAAGGATCTTGAGACCCACAACAAGTTTTTCACGCAAGTACGAAAGGGATGAAAGTGACAAAGATCGACCCATTTCTGCAATTGTGCAACCTGTGATGAGCATTAGACACGTCCCCCACAAAGCCATCCCCTCGTGGCGAAAAGGGTTGTGATGCCCACATTCTCCCAGGTGTGAATCATTTGTGAACTAACAACATTGCCCATTGTAACTTATGACATTGGTGATTATCGTGGAAATGTTGTGAATCAATATTTTGTGTCTTTGCAGGAATCATATGAAACAAAGCCATGCTGTGGAAAACAGTGTCTCGATGTGTTCATATTTCCATCCCCCACCTGGCCAAGGCATCTCCAGCCAAGGTAGATGCATCTCTCTTATCAAGACTCCGCAAAAACACCGGGTACTCGTTTGCCAACTGTCGAAAAGCCCTGGATGTGTTTGGGGATGACTTGGAGAGGGCAGAATTATGGCTGAAGGAGCAGGCCAAGAAGGAAGGCTGGGCCAAGGCAACTAAGCTCCAAAACCGAGTTGCTCTTCAAGGACTCCTCGGTCTCGCTGTGCGGCCAAACCTGGGGGTCATCGTGGAAGTGAACTGCGAGACAGATTTTGTAGCCCGAAATGCCCGCTTCAGGAATCTGGTTGCCGAAGTGGTCTCCACTTGTGTGGAAAACTGCTCATTTGGTGCCATTGATAGGCATCATTTGAGTGCCAGTGAGCTGTCAGCCATGCATTCTCCTCATTCTGACAAGTCTCTTGCTAATCTTGTGGCCTCTGAAGTGGGTCAGATCGGGGAGAACATAGTGCTTCGACGAGCAGGCATTCTACGAGTTGCTCCACCAGTGCGGCTCTGCGGATACGTCCATCCTGCCGAGGCACCCAGTGACAGCAACATTTTGCTAGGGAAATTTGGGGCTCTCCTTGCATATTCAACCAATGGGAATTCCAGTGAGGAATCACATGCCTTAGCCCGTCAAGTGTGTCAGCACATTGTGGGCATGAACCCAACCCAGATTGGCAGTTTGGAGGAATTTAGGGAGTCTGGAGCACCTCAAAAGCAAGATGAAGTTAAGGAATCAGAGGAAACCCACAAGGATGGAGAATCGGGAGGAAAGGAGGAAAGTGAGCATGATGAAGAGCTTCAAACCAGCTCGATAGATGACAGTGAGGAACGTCTAGTTTTCCAGAAGTATCTTCTTGATGACACCATCCAGGTTGGCAATGTGTTGTTGGACAATGGCTTGGACGTGGTGAACTTCATGCGCTTTGAATGTGGGGAAGTTCAATCATAAAAAAATGTGCCCAGGAGGTTATCACTAAGCAAGTCTGTATTATTCAATAAGAGCAATGACAATGAACAATTGAAGAAAATGAGTATAAATGAGTCCTCAGTGCATTGCACCTGACATGAATTAATCCAGGATGCATTCACATTCCTGAGAAGCCTGGATCAAATCCTGGTACACTTTCAAATTCCACTCAAACCTGCTGAACCAAAATCTGTCTATCCAATTAGAGGAAGCTGCAATAGAAAATATAATCTTATCAAAACTGATTCAAGTGCTTAAGTACATTGGTTTGAGAGAAAAAAACACAAACAAGAATTGAAAGTCAGACCTTATTTGACTAGAGACTCAATCAGGGTCATAGACTGAGCCGTCAAATTTTCAGAGTAAAGTGCCTCATCACAAATGTGATAGTAAAGAATTAAAAATAAAACAAATGGTTGCCCTATATTATAAGCATATTTTTCGTGAAAGGTTTCTCTGCATTTTGATCACCAAAACCTGGTTTTGCAGAACAGTCATGACTTTTTCAAAATGCTATATGAAACAGGAAGTTGTTGAGCCTGAAACTGAACACACACAAGTCAAGCGTCTCATGACATATACCCCAGAAAACTAATTTCTGTCAATACAGAATTGGTGTCAGAAAATCTCCAAACTCAACACACTTCAGGAACAACACAGTTTTGCTTTTTCAAAGAGGAACTATCACAGTAGAAGAACTTCCCCCACACCACATGAAAACCAGAGGTAACAATACTGTTGACCTCTGTCACTACAACACAATCTTTGGCGCGGATCTACAGTTTCTCTCCGCTCAGATTGGAAAGGATGTTGTAGTATGCATGGTCGGGGAATCGGTCCAGCTCGATGTAGTCTGTATCAGACAGCAGTAACTGCTCGAGTAATTGCACCAGTTCGGAGAAGGTGGGTCGCTCTCTGGGGTCCCGATCCCAGCAATAGTACATGATGTTGTAGATCTCCCTGCGACAATGCTCGGGCTTCTCAAGGCGGTAGCCGTCACGCACACGGCGCATCACCTCCCCTGCTGCCATGCCCGGATATGGTGTTGAACCTTTGTATGGAAAAAAATAAGCAGTTATGCATTGTACCATCCCATGGAACTAATCAGTGATTATTGTTTTGTACCGTCACATGGAACGAATGTGCCTTCTGTTAATGCAATTGCAAATGGAAGCAATCATGAAAAAAGAAATTACCGCCTAGACTTCCATGCCACCAAGAGGAGGAAGTGGGAGAAAGCCTTAGCTTGGAATCTCAGAAAAAGAATTAGCATGAATCGCAATTTTTTTCAGAGGTTGCGCACTGCACTAGATTGTATTGTAATCTGCAGGAATGATTCAATCTGAACTCCCTCTTACTTTAACTGGGTCATAACTGGATGTTGCATACCAGCGGCGCAGAGTCGGGCACGTGCCTTTTCCGTGGCACTTTTCAAGAAAGGAAGCCAAAAAAAAGGAAAAGACCCATAAATGCATGAAAACAGTTTCCCAGAGTTCCCGTGCCCCCCCCCCCCTCCTTTTCCCTCCACGCTACGATTATGTTGCATACCTTTCTCAGAAGCCCACGAAACCTTGTTAGTATTAATGCCAACTGAGCAGTCTATTAAAGTTAGGACAAATATTTACTTGATTAGGGTAAAACCATCTAAATTAGGGCACTATTACGTACATCGTTACAAAGTCGAGCATTGGTGAGCTCTCCCTCAAAACAGATCTTCGCAGCTTGGAAGAGCTGTTTCTAAGGATGACCTCGCAATTGCTTTGCTTCATAAAAATTAATTTAATGGTGCCCAAACTTAGATGATTTTACCCTAATCACTTTGTAATTTATAATAGAATGATGAGTGATGTAATTATTTGCCAATTTCTTAACCGTTCCAATCTTTGACATGTAATTCAGGAAAAGTAACAGTTGAAATTCTCATTACAAGACCTACCAAAAACAATGCATTCTCTACTATTATACAACATAAGCCTGCAAAGAGGCACCTGCCATCTCCAAGATATAATAATGCATTCCTCCTAGGCTAGAGTCATACCTTGCCCCCTAAAAGCAAAAGCTCATGCATTCTGTTCGCTCACCGAGAGTGACGATCTCCCACATGAGGACCCCAAAGCCCCACACGTCCGTCTTGGTCGTGAAGATGTTGTCGTAGAGGGACTCCGGTGCCATCCAGCGGATGGGGAGGCGCCCCTCCGTCTTCCGCTCGTAGACGTCTTGACCCACCACGTCCCGAGCGAAGCCGAAGTCCGCCACCTTGCACGTCTTGCCCTCTCCCACCAAAATGTTCCGAGCTGCGAGGTCTCGGTGAATGATCTACGGATGCACAACTTTTCTTTACTTTCAACATCTACGTGACCGATTTAAAAAATATCAAATTCCATGCATTGCAACCTGTTTAAAATGCTTGATATCAAACACCGTCGAAAGGGAAATGTATTCAAAAATACACCTCCCTCCTCATGAAAAATGCAAAAGAAAAGCTCTTTTCACTGTGAAACACCCTGCATAAAAATTCGAGCTGTATACAATTATGTAGTTACGGGAGGCAAAAAAACCGACTCACCCCTTTGGAGGAGAGATACTCCATGCCCCTTGCGACTTGGAAGGTGAACGACGTGAGATCCTGCGAGGTCAGATGCGAGGATCGTCCGTGGAGGTTCCCATAGTAGTGCTCGGCCCTGCTGGCCCTCAGGTAGCTCTGCAGCTTCCCGTGTGGCACGTACTCCATGATCACAAACAGGGGGTCTGCAGACCAAGGTTCATTCATCGAAATGCCTGACTTTATGGCAGTAGACTGACCCTCGATTTCAATAACCCACGCCTTAATTCCTCAATCTTCCGGGTGCAATGGAATGTATTGCAAATTTATTAATCATTGATCTTGGTATGTAATATTGCATCCGCATTGCAACAAATTTTGCTCCTTTTTACTCACATCACTTAGCAGAATTTGGCCCCGAAAACAGCGTAAGCTCTTCGCTAAAAAAAAATACTTGTTCGTGCCTCTTTATAACTCACTTATTACGAACCTTCACGGTTCACCTTCAATAATTAATGAAGCTAAGGATATAAGGATTGTTGCAAAGATCTCCTGGCATTCCCACTACCATAAGTCCTTCATCGTTTCATCGATCCGAGCAAAAAACGATCGACAGAAGCAGCCCTATCGGCCCGACCTCTCTCGGTGCAGCAGCCGAGAAGAGTGACGACGTTGGGATGCGGCTTGAACATCTTCATCACGCTCAGCTCGGACAGCAGGTCCTTCTTCTCCCGCTCCCCGGCGTTCTCCTTAAGCGTCTTCACCGCCACCAGCTGGGTCCCCTCTTCGTCTGCAAGGTCCATGAGACTTCTCAGACAAATGCTCTCAATAACAATTCGTGAGAACATTCTCGGTAGGAATGTTCTCATTATGACATTCTCCTCAAGAATGATCCCATTAGGGCATTCTCGACAAGAATGCTCTCACGTTCATGAGAAAGGGGAACAGGTACTTCATTCCATAACAGTTCAGTCCGAATGTAAATACATGTAAATAAATGTTTTTGATATATTTGTCTGTGAATTTGACCGGTTTTATCTGAATAGTTCCGGTGAAACTGAATGTCCTGATGCAGGATATAGAAAAATTATTGTTTCTTCTAAGACATGATGAACATATCTGGTCAGTTTACTCATGAGACGCAAGAAATCTTACTTTCCGACCAGAAGAAGACCAAATATGTATAATTGTCCTTTGCTTCTTGTTCAGTTGTTTGTCATTAAACATATGACTGTCCAAAGAAACTGCTTACTGTTGATGTTAAGGGCCTCGCACTTCCACACCTGGCCGAAGCACCCCTCGCCGAGGATCCCCATGATTCGCAGGTGATGCCTGGGGAACTCCCACTTCCTGTCAGCATCCTGCCAAGTAAAATCATTGTTACAAATAACAGTCAAGTGAGATAATTTATCAGAATAAAAGTTTAAATAATTCTGAAAATCAAATGAAATTAAATGAAAACCTTACCAACGGGGGTCCGGTCGGATCAGCCGACTCGTAGCGATTGGACAGCGCCCGCTGCCAGTTAAGCAAGGCGGTGGGGGGCGCGGACGCCTCGTTCGAGGGGCCGCTCCCATCCAGCGTGTCCAGGCTGTTGCTCTCTCCCTTCACCTCCTCTTTCTGGGGGGAATGAAATTCATTCACTCGAGATCTTAGCGATCGCGACGGTCCTGCGTGGTACGGGACGACTGAAGATGGTAGTCCCAGTACGCGTGAATCGGTTAACGAGTTACGGTTTCCACGGGGTTGTTGGCCGTTGAACGTGCTCCTTTTGCGAGGCATTGCGTCTGACACAGCAGGGCTTGGGGATAAAAATTTCCCATTCGCTGATCGACATCGCGACAAACGTCCAGAAGGTGGATTTCGAGGCTTTGGCATTTCAGGGAAGTGAAAAATCTGCTCGCGGAAATCGGAATCGACTGAAGCAGACCAGCAGCAGTCGAAGCACTTCTCGACGAAAGGAAGCAGCCAGCTGGTGCATAAGGAACTGGAACGTGTCGGGGGGAAACAAGTTTTTCATCTTTCTCTTTGGAAACGTCAGAGGGGCCTTCAACTGGGAAATGACCAGGCCCCTCAAAACCAGAAAAATCTAGACGATCGGCACCGGTTTTTTCTTATTATCGAGTCGTCTTCATCTTGATCTTCGGATCGAGAAGACGACGACTTGAATTCAGACGGCTCTGAGATAACAGATCCCCAACACCGCGAGTCCGAGAAATACCAAAGCGCGCGGCATACATTCCGTTTTACTTCACAGCCACGAGAATTATCCGGAAAATTATATGGGTCATTAAGTCCTCAGGGTCGGCACGAGAGTTACACCAAGGATATCAACCAGGCATGTCATTTCCGAAGAAAGAACGAAGCGCGACTTCTGTTGAGGACAAAACTCCGTTTTACACGCTAAGCGTGTAACTCCGTCAAGAGACGTGACTCTTCGCATGAAGGCGCTGTCGACCCGAGTCACGCCGAGGCAGAGTGACATCGATGACTGGCCCGTTTTCGATGCAAGGGGGAAATCGTGGAGGGATTGATGTTGGAAGAGCAAAATTCTCTTTTGGCTCACCTGGAATTCGTCCTGAATCTCATGAAAAAGAATGCTGTCTACTTCAGAAACTACGTCACTCGGCGAAACGCGCACTGCGGAAAGCAAAAGCTCTACTACAAAATATTAAGTTATCCAGAAGTTTCCTTTGGATACGAAGTTTCATTTGGATGTGTCTCACTCGTGTACGAAATAATTTTCTCCCCATCATGGCCGCGTTTCCCCAAGAGTACCATCTTCAGTCAACTCCCGACACACATGAGAAATCTCCCTCAGATCTCAGATGCCCTAAAGATGAGATCATTGGAGGAGGAACGACTCACGAGATGGAACCGGACGGACCCCTCGCCCTTCTTCTTCTTCCTCCTGGAGATGATCTTCCTCCTGAGGAGCCAGGCGGCGAGGGCGAGCAACGGCGCAGTCCCGACCACCACGATGATGGGGACGATGGTGAGGGTGAGGTCCCCCGCGCCGACCTTCTGACCCTCCCCCGTCGCGATCCCCAGGTTCGCGGAGGAGGATGACGGAGTGGAAGACGACGCGGAGGACTGAGTGGAAGACGACGCGGAGGACTGAGTGGAAGACAACGTGGAGGAGTGACCGCTGGGCGGGTTGTTCACCACCGGCGAATCGAGCGGCGGGGTGGGCACCGCCGCGGAACTCGTACGGGTCGGATCCTCGTCAGAGTCCTCTTCCTGGTCGTCGTCTGTCGAGGATAAAAAGGTGTCAGACTTAACTAGAGGGGAGTGCCGCGCTATGCACACAGTACCGAGGAACACGCCCTCAAATTCACCGTCATTTTGCAGAGATAAACGCTTGCGATCACGCAAGGATGCCATTAGAGAGCAATTGAGAGAATTTGGAATTTAAATGGGATCTTCAGATCAAGCCTTGAGCCCCCCCCCCCCCCCATGACCCTAAGTAAACACACTCCGTTCAACCCCAAGGCCTCCAGTGATCCAATTCAAAATGTTGATCTAGTTGTAGCTATCTTGCACAGCCGACTACCCCTGCCTCTGATTCGCCCGGACGCGATTTGGAAATACCAGATGGTGATGGATTATTATTATCTCTCAGAGCCGCAACTGGCCGAATGCCATTTGAGAAATGATTTAAAATGGCATCCAGTGATTGGTTATCCCGCCAGCCGTGATTTCATAACGTTGCAGCAAAGCCGGTCCGCTTGCGGGCCACAGCGAGCGTCGTAAAAAAGAAAGTCGACGTAATGGAACCGATATTCAAATCGTAATGCAATCCGTAATTTGCAACGTAATCTACGATCGATTTTTTCCACGTAAACATGTGGAAACCGAGCAGAACGCATTTTTTCCCCGAATGCTTTCGATGGGCGAAGCGATCACGAACCGGTAGTTGTGGTCGGCGTGGAGGGCGGGCGATGCGGGGGGAAGTGGGGGTGGGCGCCGGGGAAGAACGGACCCCGGATGGGCCCCCCGCCCCCATTCCCGTACGGCTGGTCCACCACCACGCGGATCTCCGTCTTCGCCGTCACCTTGCCCTCGCTCGCTACCACGTACAGGCTGTACTGCTCTCCGGCCTGGAGGAAAGAAAAAAAGAATAAGGTCATCTTCACGAACTTTAGGGGAGGCACTCGCGAAGTAGGTGACCAGCCGATCACTTGGATAACTCCTCTGCATCTGATATTGCAATAATATTTCCTGTGACTCTGACACTAACATTTTCAAATGAAACTAATTTTTACTTGTGCGATACCTGTCAATAGTAGAAATTTTAATATTTAAATTGACTCAGCTCACTACAGTAAACCAAACGTTTCTAAAGCGCTTATCCATTCAAGGTGAAAGAAATCTTTGAATAGGATGCGGCGCGGAAACCCTCCGGGCAAAAGTAAATGAAACGCGAGGTCGTAAAAGAAACAGATGATCGGTGTGGCCCATGAAGAATGGGGGTCTATCGTGTGGGCCACAGGACCGGGTCCGATGGGAACCTGCGAGGTGAAAACCCAGGCGGAAACGTGCTGGAAATAAAACGGTACTTGCACCGCGGGGGACCTACGGGTCTACACCGGTCTACACTCTAAACCTGTTGGTTTTTATAAGTGAGTCTGTGTCGTATGCCCGGGGGGGCTCGAGACACTTCATATCCGTGTTTGCAAGGGGAAATCTCCGCAACCTTGAGGATCATCCGCCCTAGCCTAGGGAAAAGGCGATCCCAGGCCTTCTTCGCTCGACCCTCTCGTCACAGGCCTTCGCTCGGCCCTCACCCGGTGAATGCTGCACGGAAGATGGGACCCTGGGAACTCGTCTAGCGGCGACTCCGCCTGCATTCCCTTCTACGTGGCATGCAAAGGCCATGATGCTCTCGAGAGGTCAAGGTAAGGATGAAAGGCCATTCTGCTCCGTGGTCTCGCGATGCACCGCTTCAATGCCGATTAACGGAACGCCTACATGTTTCGCGCAAACACGAAAAAAGTTATCCGCGTGGCTCGGGTTATAGATGAGCCACCTGTAAACGCATTCATTTAGCGATTAGCCAATTAGACAACTGCCAAGGGCAACCGGTCCACTGACGAATCCAGTCAGTTGGCAATCGCGCCGTAAATAAAGGAAATCGGCCAGAGGACAAGCTGCGAATGAGCGGAGGCGAGAGCCAGCCCCGAAATACAAGGGCGCCTGGAAAACGATAGAATCAGTTGAACCGCCCGAGGAAATGCATCGACCTCCATGGTTCACGTGTCGTCGTCCGATCTCGTCGGGTGATGGAGTTCCCAGGAGCCACATGCTACGGTGGTCTATTCCCAGGAGTCACATGCGACGGCGGTCCGTTCGCAGGCGCCATATGCTACAGCGGGGGTGCGTGCTCACGCCCCGTGTCACTCCGTGCACCTCGAAATGCACATGCAACCATCCTGCTTACCAAATCAGGAAGAGGGAGATTCAAGGCCCACGGCCCGACTGACAGCTTTTTCTCAAATCCCGAAAGATTCCACGCAGATGTTGGAAGCTGCGAGGCAATTACGACGCGACGAACGTGAAATTATTTCCCAGTGTCCACTCAGAATCATAATAGCAACGAATTTCATGCCGGAATTCGCGAGTCACGACAAGCAATGCAACCGACAAAGGGAGGATTTCCTGACGACGATGAGAGACGATTTTCCCGCCGACAAGAACGGTGAGTATAAGTCATTACCATATACCGACTAACGGCTCCGAGACCGAATCCTGCCACAAAAAAAAGTCTCATGAAACGACCGAGCGGTACCAATCACGTTTTCTCACGGCGCCTTCCGCTTCTTCAAAGCGAAAACAATTAATTATCCCGCTTTCTTCCGAATCGAACGAGCATTGTCAACTCGGGACAAACGACGATGATCAATGAACCGGAAGTAGTCCGGGACGAACGACCCGAAAAACGAGCTAGTCAATTAAAAGCATAAAAAATGAACCGCATTGTGAAACGTATTGCGCTGCAGGGCATCGAAGGACGCATTGCAGCCCACATGTGAGGGACACTGACGGTCCAAATGCGAACAGAACAACAGAGCAACAGGTGGCCTCTGCCCTGCAAATAGCGGCATTCAGCGGCTGCGGGCGTTCACATTTCCTCTTCCAGGGTTTCAGGTATCTCTTAAGACGGAACTGGAGAAGTATCTGAGAGGTATTTGAGGTGAAGGGAGAAGCCAACCGTCACAATATATAACTGTAATTGTTAGACAATCATTTCGAGCTGGGTACAATGTACAATGGATTCAATAATTACTGCTGATTCTAATGAGATGCATTACAATGGCATGTAAATGCATTTTGATTGCAATGAATATGAAATATTGCATCTAAGCACGTTACCGTCATTGGAATGTAGAGTAAATTGCAATCTACTTGCAACGGTAATGCCGTCTAAAGGCAATTAATAGTTATTCCATCCGTATTATCATATTATTGGTCAATAATAATTGCATTTTGATGGCAATGATGATGAAACGACATGACTACCCTCGGCGTCAGTCGGCACCGGAGCATCAAACGAGAAACTACATTTTTCTCGGTTTCTGCAAATGACGTGCCAATCGTTAAGCCTCAAGCGCAAGAGGAAGCACGCCTCACGAGCAAGCACGCCTCACGATTTCAGGCAGGATGCTAACTGCCCGAAAGCTGCCATCGAACAGACCGCAGCCCTTCGGGCACTGAATCCGAAAATTGCCGGCTGCCCGGGACACGCTTCGCTGGAAATTGAATCCGTCGCGAAAGGTCAAGGAAACGTTCCCTCGAGGAGTTCCATCGCGCACAAAGAAAACTGGGCTTTCGGAATAACTAGGACGGCCGATTCGATCGAGGTAATTGGTCAATTATTGTTTAAACACGGCCAAAGACAATTACTCAATGAATCGATCAAACACCTGCGCCATACATTCAGCGCCAAGTGTATGTAGAGTAAAAACAGACACCAAAGATAGACTGAATGAACACATGCGATTTCACGGAATCGGCTCCCATCCAGCATAAACTTTCCACCTGGATATTGCGCAAATTAAATTCTCGTGGAAGAGAAAGGAGATCTGAAGCCAGCCCTCTCATTGCATTGAATCCCGGGGAAATCCCAAGGAGTCATCCATACGCAAGAGTCCCCCCCCCCCCCCCCCTACATTCGCGACGGACCCAATTGAAGACTGGTGAAGAAGAAACTCCCCGCCGCACCTTGTCGTGGAGGGAGTTATTGAGGTAGATCACCCCCGACTTGGGGTCGATGCGGAAGAGGTGGACCCCGTTCTTGAAGGAGCCCGGCGTGAGGTCGAAGACGACGATCGAGTCCCGGTCCCCGCCTATCACTTGCGCTCGCTCCACCACGCCTCCTGGCAGCATATTCTCAATTAGATAACCAAGACACAAAAAAATTTGCACAAAATAAAGATGCACGAGAGATAAACGCATCGTTCGAAGAAATTAAGGAATGCTGAAACTATGAAAAAAAAAACACGAAGTAAACACTAAACACTAGTAATATCTAATTCATGACGTCATGAAAAATATTTATAAAAATGTAACGACGTGAGCCAGCCAACGCGGATGCGAGATCCTCGGAGTCCTGACGATAATCATTGTTATCTCTTAGTCAGACGGAAGGCGGAGGCAACGATGACGTCGAAGTCCTTGAAAATGCGTCTGGGACAAAAGTGCCTCGGGGCTGCTGCGATTGGTCAAGGTGAAGCCCTTTAAATAGTGGCATCCCCTCATTTAAAAAGAAAAAAAAAACTGAAAGTTCTCGAGAACTCTGCCCTATTGTCAACGATGCGCTCTGATTCCCTGGAGATGGAACGGTGCCACCTTCTGGTCCGACGGCATCCCACGTTTCCAGGCCGTGAAAGGCCTGTATCAGATGTCGGTTCGGTTTTATGGGTTTCCCCGACCGGGATTTTATTCCGCCGTAGTCGCACGCGCCCTCATGCGGAACTCGATCTTACGGTCACGGAAAATCCCGTCGATAACAGATCTGCCTCGAAACGGGACATTCCTCACGTCTTTCGCTTCCCCGTCGCAATTCACTGCATTTTCAGTTCTTAAGCGATCACGCAGCCCGCATGCCATCAGAGCGGCCAGACGACCGACAAAAAACGGCTGAGGTTTCCCGGGTGCGAATCGGCGGGACTCCGAGAACCGGTTATCGGACACCGGCCCTCGATCCACCGGACCCCGAGGGAGCCCCCACCCGCGGGCGACGGGTCCCGGAAGTCCGCCTCACCTTGGCCTTCTTTCGGCCCCTTTCTCCTTTCGTCCCTTTCTCGAGAAGGGGATCGCAAGTAAACACGCTCGACGGCGGGCTCCGCTTTCCCTCCCAAGTTCAGCTGGGAAGAGCTGATTCATCCCTAACCCACTTTTCCGCGAAATGGGCCGCTTGTATATTTTGATCCTCGACATTTCCTTCCTTCTTGCTCGATGAAATTCAACGACACAAACAGAGATCTCAAACGAGGCCGATGAACCTGTAAAACCACCATTCATGGAACTGCGGAATTCACCTTATTTCTTCTTTTTTTTTTGGGGGGGGGGGGGGGGGGAGGGGGGGGGGGGGGTGAATGTAAGGGGGGGGGGCCACTAACGAGCAGAGGGTCGTTCCGAACGACCCCAAGCCGATAACTATCGGCCTCGTCGCGCTGCTTACAAGAAAAAGTGAAAGGGCCGATGCCCCTCCACGAAAAAATAAAGTAATCGGAAATCTCAAAAAAGCATCTATGAACGAAGATGCAACGCGCGTGCAATCGCATCCAAATGCAGGAAATCCAGGCCGTCTCCATAATGCATAAATTCTAGCATTTCCAGGAGATGCATCACAAACAGACATTGTATCACTTTCTGTCCCTTTTCTCGGAAGTGTCCCGAGCCGTCTTCGCTCCGTTCATTTGCATATTTTCAGTTTCATCTCATTCAGGTTTTTGCAGCTCAGTTTTCCCGTTTTTCCGGAATGTAAGGGAAAAGCCACGTTTTTCCTTACAAGAATGGTTTTCCTGCTTGACCCTTTATTTGTTTTCCTTCATACGCGCGGACGGCCTCAACCACGAAAGTCACGCTCGATGCCCTCAAGGCCCCATGCCCATGACGCATTTTCCCCCGAGAATTTCCGCCTTTGCCCCTCCTGCTACGATTATGTTGCATACCTTTCTCAGAAGCCCACGAAACCTTGTTAGTATTAATGCCAACTGAGCAGTCTATTAAAGTTAGGACAATCCCCCCCCCCCCCCCCCCCCCCCCCCCCCCCCCCCGTCGGAGCAGGATTCCCCCGGCACGGCAAAAGCCCCGTCCCGATCCGGTAGTTTTTTTCCCGGACAATCTGGAATTGTTTCATTTTTTTAATCCGGTCTGCCCACGCAGATTGGAAGGGGAATACCAAGGACTACCAAGGACATCCGTGTTGTCCGTCCACTCACGACCGTCGCTATATTAAGCTGTCATGCCAAGCCATTATATTATATTAAGCCAGCGAAAGTGAATTCCTCCCATGCTTCACATCCCAATATGATAATTTAAAAAATTTATACATAAAATGGTATACCGTAAATATTAAAAACCAGAAAAATGAGGAAGAACCTGCCAAATCGTATGCAAATTGCACTTTCTGCAATTCTCGCAAACGCCAAAAGCCGCAAAATTCCAAATCACCGAAATCCTCTTACCAACGGGATGATCGGCCGGCAGCCTCCAGTCCCTCCTCACCATCAGGGATATGGGAGTCTGGGACACTCCACCTCGAAACGAAAAAGGGGAAAAAAACATGAAGATGGGGGAAAAAGAAGATAGAGACATGACTGGAGGGCGGAGACGCGAAGGAGCGGCAGTTAGCGGTACACAGACGGGAAGCGACCTTCTTTTCCTCGCCGGGAGACCCGTTAGGCACTTTTCTGACCCAGTCTCTCCGCTTCTCCACAATGCCCCTCCCCCCCCTGCTCTTTGCATTGAATGCTCTTTGAATGGAAGCCAAGTCCCCGTGGGCCGCGATTTGCTTAACAGCCGATAGTGACACGAATCCACCTGTCATGCATCAAGCGGTGAGGAGTGCTTCTTGACGGCCCCGCATAACGAAGCCTGCTCATAACGCATACACAACTCATAACGAATGCAAACGCGCGCTCATAACGCACATATGCTCCCAACGAATCCGCCTGGCGGAGAGAAAAGAGCCAGCTTACCAGAGAGAAAAGCCAGCTTACCGGGCAGCCCCAAGTGGAGCAGGACGAAGGCCACCAACGCCCCGAACGGAGACATATCACATTACAACGCACTCGACGCTTCCGATGACTCGCGAATTCGCATCACTAACGGCGAACGTCCGACGATCACTTCGTTCTCATCGCGTAACGGAAACGTCACGACTACGGTCACACAGCTCGAACTTCCGCCGACGTCGACGCAAGACTGGAGGATCCTCGGAGGTCCGACGATCCTCCGCCCGTGATGGGCGGGGCGTCCACACCCCTCCGACCAATCACCGCTCGGCTCACAAATCCTCCGGCCAATCCACGATCGGGACACAACCGCGTCCTCGCTGACCCCCTCGGGCGGTGAATTCCTGGCTGAAACGAAGGAAAATCGGTCAGAATTTTCTCTTCTGACGCGCCCGTGACGTCATCCCCCTGACCCTTCCCATTCATTGTCCGACGGTCGCGTTCGATAAGCTTTTTCATTCGGCACGTGATGAAAGCCTCCAGAAAATTCCGCGTCGGTTCATCGCACTCGCGAAAGGCGAATTTTTTTTTTCGCCGAACTTGAAGGGATTTCCGCGATCCCGACCCGATCCCGTCCCGATCCCGCCCCGATCTCAACTCCCATTTCCGAGGATGAAAGAGAAACGCCGACACATCCTCCGGCAAATATAGGCCAAGAAGCTGAACTCGAGCCTCATCGTCTCCTCGGCCTCGTCATCCGCCAGATCGCGATGGAACTGGGGCCTCATCGCATTATTCGTCGCATTATTCGTCGTATTATTCGTCGCATCATTCGTCGCATCATCGCCTCATTAACGAGGATTGCTCAGCGCCCGAATGCGACGGAGCCCTACATTATCTCTTCAACTTTACAGGAATGCAATTAAGCGGAACTCATCAGCGTGCGATGACGTGGCGAGCCTGAAGGCCGGCGTGCACAGGGTGACACGCCTGCCATCTCCCTTCTGCGTCGCGAACTAAGAGGTTGCGAGCCGATCTCACAGAGTGCAGGACAATCCTCTCCTTCGCGCCTGATCCTAATCGATGTCCGCGATTCACCCTCCTCTCATTCCTCTCACAGAGAGGATGTCGCGGAATTGGGCCGATTTTTCGCCCGCTCGACTCAGAGTCGCGATTCCACATTTGAAGATCCGATTTGAGGATCTGATTTAAGATTTGAAGATTTATTATGAACTTATTCCTGTAATTTTTTCCCGTGGATGCTCTGGCAAGGAGGCAGACGCGTTCGCATCCAAGAGTTTCCACGGAACTCAAGGCTCGCGTTTTCTGTCGAGTTCGTTCCGTTCCCAGCCGCAAATGCCCTTTGGCGCTCTTGGATCGTCGGCGAAGCGCCGTTATGAAATTAGTCGTCAGCGATTAGATGTGCAGACTCGAGTAACGGTTGCCTGATGTCATGGGGTTGTATGGAATTCGTGGCGGTTTCGTGTTGGGGCCTGGGTCTTCCATTTTTAACGTTTGGTGCGCTTTTGCGCCGAGTTCCTGGTCGAGGACGAGATCGAAGAAATATTTATCCGCGCCCTGATCGAAGAAATATTTAGCAGCGGCCTGATCGATGGACGCGGAGACATCGGAGACATCGGGCAACCCTGTCGAAGATGGCGTCCGACGGCGTTTCGTTCGCGGAGGCAGTCGGCGCGGGAGACCGAGCGGAGGCGGAGCGAGAAACTCCAGTTAGGCCTGACGTTGCACGCCCTCGGCGAGATGCCCGGAAAATTCCGGGATTCGTCCCTACAGCCAAAATCGTCGAGAGTTCAGTTTCTCTCGAGCGAAGAAAGGTAGGCCTAGACCGGATGAAAGGTGAGGGGTGGGGATAGGCCTATGCCGGATAAAAGGTGAGGGGGGGGGGGGGGATAGGCCTAGGCCGGAGGTCTGGCCACGAATGCTCGAGGGAAATGTGAATAATAATGTCTCTTTAGCGTGAAATCGAAAGGAGAGGGGGGGGGGGATAGGCCTAGGCCGGATGAAAAAGGTGGGGCGGGGGGATTCCTCGAGGCAATTTGCACCTGCAGGTAAAATGCGCTGCGGGAGCCTCGAGGATCCACTTGTCCTTTCAACTTCTTCATCCGACTCTGGATAATTAGGCCCAACGTTAAGAGTCCCGTAGGAAAGGCGAAGGGAGTTGGTTAAAAATGCGCATTTTTTTAGGGGAAAAAATTCGTCGCCTATCGGACCGGCAGCCGAAAAAAAGAAGCGAAAAATGAAATGAGAATTGAATTGAAATTTGACTCGTGGATGTCGATCGGACGCGATTCCGTGTCGATCGGAGGATTGCTTCGATGGGTCGACAAGAAGCAAGGGAGGTCGACCCGCCCTCTTGAAAAAGGACGACCTGTCCTCTTCGGCGAAGGGGTCTCGACTTGTATATCGCCCTGAAAAACCCGACTTAACGGATCCTCACATGTCATTTACGCGACGCTTAATGTCGGAGCGAACGAACTCATGCTGATCGTCCGCGAATCCCCGTCGACACACCCCCCCCCCCCCCGCGAATTGCCCGCAATATTCGCGGGCTCGCGACTCAAACGGGCCAGGGCCGTGACACCGAGATGATCGCATTTTCACGATCGGCGGAAAAAAAAATCTCGCGGGCGAAAGTCGCCCGCAAAAAGAAAAAACGTGATTTCGTCGTGGTGAAGCTTTCTCCTTTCGATTTCACGCTAAAGAGACATTATTATTCACATTTCCCTCGAGCATTCGTGGCCAGGAAAAAAAAAAATTACAATCATTTTTTCCGTTGCAAAAAAAAAAAAATATAATAAATTGAAAAACAAATTGCCTGATCTATGCGAGCCATACAACATTCCTCGTCGTACCTTTCCCGATTGAGCACGGAAATTCTCCACGAAAAGATTGCGCCATGCCACCCGGACTCTCTTATAGGGATTACAAGAACCGATGACATTACCCGGCTCAGTGGTCTAGGGGTATGATTCCTGCTTTGGGTGCAGGAGGTCCCGGGTTCAAATCCCGGCTGAGCCCCGAATTACTTTTTCCGTGGATGCAGACGTAGTTATTATTATTATTCTTCTTTAATTTGTTTTATTTATGCATTTCACTCATTTGCTCTCTTATATTTTAATTGTTTTATTTATTTTAATATTTTACATTTTATTTTATTCTCTTAACTTTCGTGCGTTCCAGCTCGTTCTCTCGACTGACTAAAAAGTCTCCGGAAGTGTCTCAACTAACAAAGGACATTTCTTCAACTTCACCCTGCGAGGAATCAGCTCAATTCGCGGTGGAAAACGAAGTGAAATACGAAAATGGAACGAAACGACCGCGATGCAGAATCGCGAACACGTCACCAATCCCCGCGAAAGGGAAAGTTGACACACATGTCGAAAGATGTCCAACAGTGACAACAACACAAAAAAAAAACAAAGGCGAACGAAGGGGGCACCTAGTTGGGTAACCACCAGCCACGAGGAAGTCGTTTCCCATTCACGAAAACCTTGTTTAAAAAAAAGTTCCTGCCCCCCCCCCCCCCCTACCGAGAAAAGTCACGAAAACCTTTTTTAAAAAAAAGTTCCCCCCCCCCCCCCCCCCTACCGAGAAAAGCACAAAAGTGAGGGACCCAAGCAGCGTGTCAGGTACGTGAAAGTGTCTGTCCGATCCGCGAAAATCCCCGGCCCTTGTTCGGGATCATCGGAGCAGAATTGCGGAAGACCCGACCGCGACCGCATATAAGACACCTCTCGAAAGGGAGGAGGCACAGTCGCCAGACATCCCTCCACGGATTCGTGATCGTGACTCGGTGTCTCCCCCTCTCCTCTCTTCGTGGCTCGTCATGACCAGGATCGGCTTTAAGGTGAGTCTGGTGCTTCATTTTCGGACGAGACTTCGCCTTTTCGTACGGGAAGACTTCTGCGACTAAAGACGAAACGGACTTTAACATGAAAAACGTAAAAAGTAATCGGGGCTCAGCCGGGATTTGAACCCGGGACCTCCTGCACCCAAAGCAGGAATCATACCCCTAGACCACTGAGCCTCCTATACTTAATACGCATCCCACAGTCTCATATGAAGGGAAGAGTCCGCGCGCATGTGCATATCCGCTCCGCCCCTCTCCCTTCGAGGCCTGTCGTCTGCTGCGCTGTGGATGCACTCGCGCCGTCTGCTAGGCCTCCTCCGCCTGTGACGTCATCGGAGGCGCCTGCTCTCGTGCCAAGGAGTGTCGTCTGCTCCGTCCCTCGCCCTCTCATGTGGTTCTCCGTGAATTCTCTGGTCCTCTCTGGTTCCTTGAACACTCGCGTTTATTTTCGGGTTCCAGAAGATCGAGTACAATAATGAAACACTGCAACAGGGACTGGTATTGACTGGTATATATAACTTTTATGGAGTCAAGGCGATAAATCTTGCTTAAAAATGATTTTAAATGCTTCCAATTTTCAATGGAATGTACCGCTCCGTGGAAATTCGAGGAAATTAGGTCGAAGGGATCGAATCCACCGAATGACAAGGACGTTTATACGCAAAATAATTCAAATCGACGCTGACTGTGTACCAACTTGACCACGAAAACCCGGACTGCCCGATTCAACCAAGAAGACCCACGAAATCGACGGACTCTCAACGACAGTGACCCAACCCCAGTAAGTTCCACGACTCATCCTAAGTCTAAGACAGCCTAAGACATAGAGGACTATGAAGCGTAACGCCGCATCTTCGACACCATCAATGACAAAGCACGATTTTGCACGTTTGCTGACAGCACGGAAAAAAATCGCAATTATCCTAAGATAGCATCGCGCGCTTCCGCTTCCTTTTACGCACGTATTTTCTCCCCCCCTTTTCAGGAACTTCTATTCAGCACCTGCTTGGTGCTCGCGCTGGTTGCCATGGCAACGGGCTCTCCTTCTCCGGATCCGGAAGCTCTGGCCAAGCCGGAGGCTTTGCCGGTCCCGCTGGCCGCCGCGTCCCCGCTCCCGGCCCCGGTCCCGGGCTCCAGCTCCTCCAGCAGCAGCAGCAGCAGCAGCAGCTCTGGGAAAGGGAAGAAGAAGAAGAAGAAGAAGAAGAAGGGCGGCAGCAGCAGCAGCAGCAGCAGCAGCTCCAGCGGCTGAATCAACACAAAAAATTATACACAAACCCCCGCGGAAATAAAGATCTTTCCATCCCCCGACGTCCGTCTTTTCATTTTCATTTTGATACATGCAAATAAAACCCACGGAATATTCGCAAAAATG